TATATATATGTGTGTGTGTGTGTGTATATGTGTGTATATATATATATATGTGTGTATATGTGTGTATATATATATATATATATATATATATATATATATATATATATATATATATATATATATAAATATATAAATCCTGCTAATGAACTTTAGTTCACCAATAATCTCTGATGAACCAGATTCTACAAAAACATCTATATTTAAAAATGCATATGTTTTCTTCTTCATTTGATGTATTCAGAGAGAGTGAGATGGAGCTCTGCCGGTCACTGTGGAAGATCCTCTGTGGTGCCGACTTGGGGCTCGGGCTCTGGGTCCCGGCCTTGTGTGCTTTGCAGGCTCTGAGTTCTGCTGGTCGACGCCGAGGATCCTCCATGGTGCCGACTTGGGGCTCGGGCTCTGGGTCCCGGCCTTGCATGCTCTGCGGTGTCTGAGTTCTGCTGGTCACCACAGAGGATCATACGAGCTGCTGACTCTGGGTTCGGCCTTCATGAGCAGGCGAGTCCAGGGTCCTTGCAATAGACTGCTGCAAGTCAGCAGCTCGTATGATCCTCCGTGGCGCCCAGCAGAACTCGGTGCCCGTAGAGCACACAAGGCCCAGAGCCCGAGCCCCAAGTTGGCACGACGGACAATCTTCCGTGGTGACCGGCAGAGCTCCATCTAGCTCGCTCTGAATTTTGTCATTGGCCACCAATCATAAAAAAATGCCTGCACTTCAGCATTAGACCACAGTGTTGTCATTATTGTTTTTTAAAATCTTCAAAAGAGATCCAATCTCTTCTTGAGTTCGAACACCAGTAATTGCAAATGGTGGATCGAATGTTTTGGAAAAATTCTCAAACCCTTCTAGTGACTCTGCCCCCTGACCAATCAGTGACCGACAGTGTTCTGACGTCATGTTTTGGTGCTGGCTCGACTTGTTTGGTACCACTGAGAAGAAAGGACCCCAGAGAAGAAGAGACCACAAAAGGTGCCGGTTCCCTGAAAAAGTGGACTCGGAAGCGAGTTGAGTCGTGCTGAAAGGCCCACAAGGGATGTTTGGAACAATGCTGCTGCTCTTCCACATCCAAAGGAGTCAACTGAGGTGATTCTGGCATCTGATTAGGAAGCCTCGTCTGGACGCGTCCCAAACATCTCACTGAGAGGGTACCCTGGGACAGACTCCGAACTTTTTGGCAGGAATCTACTCCCTGCTTTGGGAACAGCTTAGGAAGGAAAAAGATGTCTGAGTTTCCCTCCTGGATTTGTTGTCGTCACCAATGGGTAAGAGAAAAAAAGGATTCTTTACACAATATTTTTTTTCATTTAAAAAAATGCATAATTTTGTTATATTTGTAACTCTTGAATCAAACATTTAGATGTATCTGAAATAAACTGAAATATACCTGTTTTCACGTGGTATCGTTTGTAAAACATTTTTCCTTTTCTCCTATATCTGGCCTATCAAAAAAAAAAACCTCAAGATATTCTTTATGAAATGTTCTCATTTTGTGATTTTTTCCACAGTCACTGTCCCAGCTCTTTCATGGGGATAAGAAATGAGACATTTCCAGCATCTTTGGTAACCTTGCAGAAGTGATTTCAGATAGTTTTGCAGTGATTTCATAACCAAATTTAACTCATATTATTGATTAATTTAAGTCAGAAACAGGAAGGAAGACATTTAGGACAGTTCAGTTAATTTAATCAGTGTTACCACTGATTAAATTAACATGGTATTTAGTTTGGAGTGAGGTGCTGCCTCAGGAGGAGCTCAGGTTTCTGGGGGTTTTGTTCATTAGTGAGATAAGAATGGAGTGTGAGGTCGACAGAAGCAGTATTGCTAACTCTGTTGTGGTGAAGAAAGAACTGAGATCAGTTTATAATTTGCTCTACGTTCATAACCTCACCTACGGTCAAGATAGTTAATGACTGAAAAAATGATATTGCAGACGCAAGAAAGGTTTTCTGAGACCAAGCTGGACTCTCCCTTAAAGATGTTTGAGAAGTTCAGTTGTCTGGGAGAGACTTGGAGTAAATCCACTGGTGGTTTGGGCATCTGGTAAGGATGCCTCACTTGGGAGGTTTTCTGGTCATGTTCAACTGAGGGGAGTCTCCAGGAGAGACCCAAGACACACTGGAGAGACATGTTTTTAGGCTGGGCTGGGAACACCTCCCAGAAGAGCTGGAAGAGGTGGTTGTGGAAAGAGATGTGTGGGCCTCCCTGCTCGAGCTGCTGCCCCCGTGACACGACTCCGGAACAAACAAGATAATGGTGGTTGGATAAATGGATAAATGGATCCAGTGATATCACTCATCATTAAGATGTCAATATTTGCAAGTAAACATTTTTTTTTTTACATTTTGTTTAAATCATCTCTGTTTGTAGAAAGTGAACCAATGGTTGGTTTAATTTCTGGGGCCCAACATTTTTTCCAGATGCAATAGTTTTCTTTCTGTTTGAAAAAAACAACACATAGTTTTACATCTTGACTTGTAAGAAATGACTCTGACAACATATGAGTCTTACCTCAGATTCTTTAAAGATCACAGGTGGTGCCTGCACTTTATTTTTACTTGCAGCAGCTCGCACGATGGCCTCGGCCTCCACCGCTCTTCCCTGAGTGATCAGCCACCGAGGCGACTCTGGGATAAACCTGCAAGATCAAAGTTTTCTGCCTTTTGATTCGTGCATGATAGTACTGAATATTAGTTGAGAAATCAGTGGGTTTAATGGAAAACATACCACCATAATGGGATGTACACCACAGACGTTGCTGACAGAACGGCGAGCAGCGTTCTCCATTCTCTGATGCCGTATGCGATCCAGGGAAGAGTCATGTAACCGATGCAATAAAAAAGGAAGGCCCCGAGAGTTGTAAAGAGGACTCGCATGGTTTTACTCAACAGCTCCGTACCTGCCAAACATAAAACTATGAATATCGATTGACAACAATACAACTAACATATACGTATTGCATTTGTTGGTAGAATGCAAATCACCCGCTTTTCCTTTATACAGGAGTTTGAAACTAAATTCATCTTATGCTGAGAAGGGATGTTATAGCAAAAGGATGATATAGCTTCACAATTTCATGTGATATTGTGAAATCTTGAGCACTGACACAATGTGTTGTGGATGACTCAGTTACTACTACACACAATTCAAGTGGAATACATGTACAATTAACTGGATGATAGCCATTGCTGAGTTTGCTAAGATTGATTAGTGATACAGCTTTCTGAGAGTTTCATTTTACTGTCTACGTTCATAAGATATTTTGCTAACACTACAGACAAACAAATAGACAAACACACAGACTCAGGTGAACACATAATGATGGTGGGCAATACAACAATTGCAACACTATTGTTCTTCTGTTTTTCTTATAAAGTACAACTACTGTTGTTTTCATGTTGAAGCATTATCGAGAAAATCATGTTTACCTAAAACAAATGCAGAAATGTAGATGGATATCTGAGAGGCTCCAACAAAGAGGAACATGATGCAAAAAATCCTCCACGACTGAGAGAATGACTGAAGGAGAACAGAGACAGACTGGGCCGCAAGAGAAATGAAGACCACCTTCTTCCTTCCAAACCTGAAGAAAACAAACATGTTCATCATAAACAATGGGACACATATCCAAAAAAGTTCTATCTGGTCCTCTGGACATTCAAAAAAGCAAAAAACAAAACAAAGCAAAAAAATCTAGAAACGTTTCGTCTCTCATCCAAGGGACTTCCTCAGTCTGAGGTGCTGTTTTCAGCTCAGTCTCCTAAATAGCACCTTCTCAGAGTGGATCAACCAGTTTGCTGCTGACAACCAAAACCAGCTGATCACATGCTCAAGAAGGACCATCAGCCTAACAACAACAAGATCAACATCATCAGGCCAGGATTCTGCGGTCTACACTCATCTCCAGGCCAGCGGTCACTCTTTCAAGGATGAAGATGTTCACATCCTGGACAGAGAGGAACGATGGTTTGAGAGAGGAGTAAAGGAGGCCATCTTTATGAAAAGAAATCGTCCATCATTAAACAGGGGTGGAGGCCTCCGGGTTCAACTGTCCCCCTCTTACAATGCTGTGATTGCTAGTATCACTCAGCCCTCTGTGAGTAGTAAACAGCCATCAGTGTGCTAATGACCCATTGTTAGGCTGATGGTCCTTCTTGAGCATGTGATCAGCTGGTTTTGGTTGTCAGCAGCAAACTGGTTGATCCACTCTGAGAAGGTGCTATTTAGGAGACTGAGCTGAAAACAACACCTCAGACTAAGGAAGTCTCTTGGATGAGAGACGAAACGTTTCTAGATTTTTTTGCTTTGTTTTGTTTTTTGCCTTTTTGAATGTCCAGAGGACCAGATTGAACTTTTTTTGGATTTTTCTACCTGGATTATTGAGCATGCATCAGGATATGGAATGGGACACATGGAAAGTATTCATAAGAAATGGCAATTTTTATTTTAAATAACACTGCAACGAGGAGTGCAACTACATGCCCAGCAGCAACTTTAAACTAAATAACTGAGCACAAATTTGACGACAAAAACCCATTCACGATGCAGCAAATGTGATTTAAGAAGGACATACTACCAGTAAGCAGATTCATTTAGAACAGGGGTCTGCAACCTGCGGCTCTGGAGCCACATGTGGCTCTTTGATACCTCTGCAGCGGCTCCTTCAGGCTTTCCCCAAAACTAAAATCAATCTGAATTTTATTTTTAATTATTGGCAACAATGAAAATGGCTAGTTTAATAAGATTTCCTGTCATTTTCAAATATGTGATGGATAGTACAAATACACAGAGTAAAACATGTGGACTACATCATAGTAGCAGTTTGTTAGCCACTTTGTTAAGTCGACTTTCAGTTTCTCAGCGTGATCTTTCTCGCAAAACCACCAGAATGTTTTGGAATATCTTTAAGAGAAACTGCTGAGAAGGAATATGGTGAGTAACTTTGATAATACTAAGAATAAAACACAAAAACAAACAAACAAACAAAGTAAACAAAAGTATTTATCTTTCTTTAAAAATGTAACTGGATATCCAACAAACTTTCCTCATTTTATAACGTCTTTAACTTTATGTTTTAAGTAGGATACTTAATTCTTCAACAATTAAGAGAACTCGCATCGGCCTGCAAAGTTCAGTGTTTAAATTTTTATAAAATTGTTAAAACCTATATATTTTTTCTTTCTTACATGAATTTGGTCTTTTCTTTTGTATTAAAATGTAAAAATATCAATAATTATTAAAAAATAGTTAGACATTTTTTGTTTTATAATATCACCCCCCACTGGCTGGAAAAGCCATCGCCAACAAACTTGTGGTCCATGGGCCACCAGTGGACAGTGCACAGTTGCAGCAGGTTTTGTGGCTCCGGACATAATTAGTAAGCAAAGAGGCAAAAATGGCTCTTTTGATCACAAAGGTTGCAGACTCCTGATTTAGAAGATTTAACCTGGATAAACATCTAGTTTAACAGCAGATGGTGCTGTTGCCTTTATTAGCATTTGATCTGAAGCCTCCATTTACACTCACTACAGGGGATTCAGCTTTAATTAATTAAATCAAAAGTTTATTTCCCAAAAGCAATCTAGCAATTTATGCATTTTCAAACTTCTTAGAATAAAACATCTATGATGTAGATGTTGATGTAACCTATAAAAATGCAGTTAAAGTATCATAATTGACATGTTAAAGGATAATTTAATGTAGAATACCTGTCTGATAATTGCCCTGAGATTAGGGACCCCAGAAGGTATCCCACAAAAAGCGTTGAGGATGCAAATGGAACTTTCCATTTGTTGTCACAAACAAGGTCCCACTGTGAAAGATGTGAAAAATAGCATAAAACAAAACAACCAAGAGCCTCCAGAGCTCAGAGTGATAAAAAAAACGATGTATTATCATACTGACCTCGGTGACAATAGTGTACTGGTAGATGTCTTTGCTGTAGTTCCATCCATCTAAACATCCTTCCTGCTGCAGATCAGTCAGGTTAACGTCCTTCCCAGGATTATATCCGTGATCAGAGAGATTTTTAACCACATCTAGTTTATATCGGCTGCACTGGCTCTGAACATTTTCACTCCCCACGGTTGTCAAGGGGATGATGGCACTTCTCCACTCCTCAGTCAAGTTGACGTCCGGAACGAAACAATGGTGTTTCGGAGCTGCTCCAGCAAAGATGATGTAAAGTCCGTTGAATCCAGTTGACACAAAAACTGTATTTAATAGGAAGAAGGTGGTCCAAAAATAAGGACCCGTTTGTCCGAGAAAAGCGGTTTCCTCGTCGTAGTCTCCCATTTTTTTCCCCCAATTAATTGTTTCCTGAATAAAAACCACCTTCTCTGCTCTTCAGAATGCAAGATGTGGTGTTCCTCTTTAAGTCCTCAGCTCAGTGCCAGAGTTTTAGGGTCAAGCTCTCTGTGGGGTACAGTGAACTAGTCCCTCAGTGGGACGGAGTCGGAAACAAACAAAAAAAAAATCCATTTCATGTCCAGTGAGAGTTTTAAACCCCTCTTGTGAGAACAGAAATTTGTATCTTGAATTGGAAAGCGCTTAAAATCTAGCTGAGCCTTTTACTCACTCATTTGAATAATCTGAAGCTTTAGAGCACCAATCTACTGTAGGCATCCAGTCCTAATAGCTCTAATATGGCATTTTCTCTAAACAGCATTCCGCACTTATAAATACTGCAAAGAAGTCCACATGACTGTACTCTAAATGTCGCTAAGTAGCGTTAAGACTCCTGCCGGACGATTTTAACACTCACTGCAGAGGCAAACATGCCTTTATGGAAAGTTCAGCAGAAACTTGCATGTTTGTTTTACTATCTTTAAGATAAACCACCTACTCACATGATCCAGGAAAAGCCACACGTTTAAGAACATTTCCAGACTATCGCATAAATATGTTCCCCCACACTCACCTCAAGTGTAAAAATGATCACGTTAATATTTTGTTTAAATCTTAAAATAAATTACTATAAGCACGTGCGGGTATTTCTGATCATCGGTAGTGAAAGAGGGTTTGTGGAGAACTTGCTGTCCTTCACAGCAGGCTCTGCAGCTGTCTTTCATAATACATTTCACACAATTAAGGCTGCACTGGATGCCCTTCTTATTTGCAGAAAGTAGTTCTAACAAGGTCTGGTGAGGTTACTGTCTATCTTGCTTATCATATCTTAATATGTGCTGAATTTGCATTTTATTAGCAGAATTCAGGCGATGTGTTTACCTCGAGGTTTGGTTAGTGTTTGTCTTGTTCCTCAGGTCTTGTGTTGCTTTTTTTCTTTTTTTTTTTTTGTTAAGTGTCAAGCCGAATTAATTTGTGCAATCAGCTTCAGAGACTTAAATATTTTTATGAAACCTGCTGCAGCTGTTGACTAACCTTTGCAATTCGGATGCTCCTGATCGAAAAACGTCAAAAAAAGCAAAAGTTTAGTCCTATGAAGTTAAACAGAAACCTTGTACATCAAATAAACTTGTCTATATTTTTGGACTTTTTGATGGTAATTCTTAAGCAGCTCTGCTGCCTGCTACATCAGTGGTGACAGAGTTAATCAGTTTAATCACTGCACTGATGAACTACAACACTGTAACTGTGCAAAAGAACTGAAAGGCTTGTTAGCACCATTTACCCTTGAACGATTATGATGTTTTGTGACATTTATGTTTCAGATGCTTAACAAGTTATGCACATTTCAAGTTCAAGTAGGTTTTATTGTCATTTCCATCACGTGGTACATGAAGTGGAACAAAAGTGTGAACACAGGGTCCCAGTTACATCCAGCAATAGCAAAAATATAAAGTGTAAAAAGAAACAGTAAATAAGGATCTAAGATATAAACTAAGAAATACGCTAACTATACACAAAAAAAACAGCAGCATGAACATGAGTCTTTGTGAGTAAATGAGTACGAATGAATACAGCAGCATGAAATAATCAGCAGCATGGACAATCAGCAGCACATATCACCAATCACAGTGGTACACAGTAAATTTTTTTCGTAGTGATTATCCTGGTTATAGATTCATGAGTCTAACAGCCTCAGGGTAGAAGCTGTTCCTCAGTCTAGTGGTTCTACACTTAATGCTCTGCAACCTTCTGCCTGAGGGGAGCGGGGCAAAAAGTGTGTGCTGGCTGAGTGGGGTCCTTCATGATGCAGGTGGCCTTCTTCCTGCATCTGGAGGTGTAGATGTCTGTGATGGTGGGAATGCTTTTTTCAAACAGGAAGTCTGTCCCGACAGTTCTTCCTCTGATTTTATACTCAAATGGTGTCCCTATTGAGTTTGTCGATTCCTACAAATATTTGGGTATCTTGGTCGATTTTCATCTCTCTTTTAAGCTTCACGTGGAAAACCTAGTAAGGAAACTGAAAGTTAAATTGGGTTTCTTTTTCAGAATCTTGTCTAACTGTGAAAGCTACGAACCACCTTGTGACTACGGGACATTATTTACATGAACGCTCCTACAAGCACCCTGCAGATGTTGGACGCTGTCTATCATGGTGCACTAAGATTCATAACTGACTGTAACTACCATACCCACCATTGCACCCTGTATTCACTGGTTAACTGGTCATCATTAACTTCACGCAGACTCTCTCACTGGTACATTTTCATCTTTAAATCACTTCTTGGTTTGCTGCCTTCATACAATTCCTCCTACATGCCACTGAGTGAGTGCAGCTACAGCGTGCGCTCTCAGGACATTATTACCTGCAGTGTTCCCTCAGTACGGACTGAGCTATGCAAAAGGGCCTTCTCCTACTCCGCTCCTGTTTCCTGGAATATCTTGCAAAAAGATCTGAAGATCTCAACCTTGACCTCTCTAAGTGGCTTCAAACATCTGTTAAGTTCCTGGGAAAAACCAAGGCAGACGTTCTTGTTTTTAGTTTTCTACACCACCTTACAACCCATCTGTTTTTTTTTTTTTGCTTCTTTTCCTTTTAAATACCATTTTATTTTCACTTGTTAAAAAAAAAAAAAAAATCTCAATTTGTACACATTTTTTATGATTGTTCTATTATTGTCTTTGTTGTCCACTGTTGTCATCACACTTTGATAAAACCAGGTCTCTCTTGTAAATGAGTCCCCGAGGCTCAGTGGGATTAGCCTGTATAAATAAAGGTTGAGAGATTGAATGGTTGCTTGTCTCAGTTGTCTCTGTGATGAACTGGAAACCTGTCCAAGGTGTCTCCCATGTCTCGCACAAACTGCTGGACATAGACACCAGTGACCCCCTCAATCTGAAAAGGAAGAAGTGGGTAAAAATAATGGATGGATGGATGAATGGAAGCTTTTGTATCGATGTGCCAAAAGTCAAACCTCTGAGGAAAGTTTTCTGCAGCATATTGCAAAAGATTCTCAGAAGGGTTTAAGGTCTTCATTTTGTGGTGTCCAATCTACGTTTGAAGGTAATATGTCATGCTACCTGAGTCATTCTATTCACAGTCGGAGCCAGATGAATATTTGGCATGGCCATCCCATCCCATCTTACATAACTAAGGAAAAGGGGGGAAAAAGATCTAATTAAGTGGATCTCTTAGAACTTGCTGAACTTATTTTATCAATAATTTAAAATTGTGATGAGAAACATTTGAATCTTCTCCGCTGATTGCGTCTGTTAACAGACAGAGCCTATAGGAATCTGTGTAATCATTAACATGTGCTTTAACACCAGATTTGACTGGTCTGATACAGAGGATCAGAGTGCACACAGTCAGGGGGCTTTAATGAGCATGTTTACGACAGAGGAGCATGTGAATGCAATCAGCACAGGGGGTTGTAAGGTTTGTGCTCGGTTACATAAGGGTCCCTATTGCATGATGACACCTTTAAATCTGTCATTTTATGACAACTTTTTAATCTAAAGATTTGAGGGGGAAACACATAAACATATTGTGATTGTTTAAAAATTGTGGATGCAGACAAGCAAAATACATTCAATTTATCTGAAATGGTTTTGAGGTATAACTCAAAAAACATATTTACAACAAAACCAGACATTACAAAACAACAAAAAAACAACAACAGCAAAACTAAACTAATACTCTTGTTTTTATTTTATTTCAGTTTGTTGCTATAATGTTAATTTTGTCTCACGAATGTTCTGCAGACCAGTTCTGACACCATTTTTTTCATCATATTTCAAACACATTGGTTTGTATTTTGAAAAAAAAAAAAAAATGAAAAAAAAAATGACATTAGATTTTATGTAATTAAAAAAGTTGCAGCTATAATCCATAAGGTGTTTGTTCTATTGTTTCCTTCATGTTCATATCACATAAAACATACCACCTCTCTTGCATTGTAACAATCAGTTTCCAAAAATGAATTATGTTTAAAGCTTTGGGTAAATGTAGGCGAACAACAAGCTAAAAAAATGACTCCTTATGTTTTGTCTTTAATGTTTTTCTAGCAGAGGAACCACAAAAAGAGGCCATGAAGAGCATCATCCACCCCTACAAATTTCCATATCAAAATACGGAGTTTCAGGAAGTATATAAATATAAATAAATTAAAAAAGCACAGAATTATTTCAGCGAGTGAGTTAATTTCAGCTTTGGCCCAGTGAAGTCAGCATTGTTTCTGGATTGTGTTCAGGCTTTGCATGATAGAGCTTTAATCAGCATTTGTGGATGGCATGGCAAACTGTGCTTACAGACAATGATTGTGTTCCTGACTCCATGCAGTAAACAGAGTCAGAGATTTTTATTAATGAAATGCTGCTATTGGGCCTGAAATACCAGGCACTAAGGAGCACAAGTCAGTGTATCTCTTGTGCTGGTTCCAAGCCGACGTAAATGGTGAGGGTTGTGTCAGGAATGGTATTCAAGTACAACACTTTTGCCAAAACAAACATGAGAGTTTATCTGCTGCCGCTTGGTGCTATTTTCCGGAAACACAACATGCCCTTCCACTTCTACGCCGATGACTGTCAAATTTACTTCCCACTAAGACACAATGGTACATGCTCTATTCAACCGCTGCTCAACTGCCTGGCTGACATCAGGGACTGGATGGCTTCAAATTTCTTGAGTTTCAATGAAAATAAGTCTGAAGTCATGTTGTTCCCTCCCAACGACACAATCACAAACCACTGCATCGACCTTTCCGCTCTAACCCTGTCAGAAAAACAGAGTCACTAATCTGGGCGTGATAATGGACCCTTCCCTGAAGCTTAACGATCATGTAAACATGATTGTTAAGTCATGCTTCCTCCAACTGAGGCGGCTGTTTAAACTGAAGCCCATATTGTCCAAAAATAACCTGGATACAGTAATACATGCATTCATTACA